GCGGCCTCAGCATGGCCGGAGAAGTGGTGCGTCGGTGCGCGCCCGGGATCTGAACCCGGGGCCACCAGCAGCGGAGTGCGCGCACTGAACCGCTAAGCCACGGGGCCGGCCCAAGATTTTCTTTTTTTAAAGCTACACTTGACTTATATAAATATAGCCTTCACAAATAAACCTAAGGCAAAATATATAAAATGACTTACAAAGTGTTGCAGATATTTATAGATTAGTTTGCATAATCTATTCTTTAAAACATAAAAAAGCATTTATGATTTACTATTATGGATTTGGCAACCCTTCTGAAGTCAAAAGCAGCTCATTTGAAAGCTACACTTCAGCTTCTGTCACTGGGTCCTGTACATCAACTATACTGACTGTGGGTCTATTTCCAATCTCTTGAGACTGTAATTGTTTTTCTGTCAGCAAGTGAAATGGCACACTCAAGTGTATAGTATGGTTTTCAAGAAGCAGATCCCCTGTATTATAAATGGAACCTAATGTGTAAGTCCAACTTCCCTCACACTTATCATTGTGGAATAACGAAAAACTGCTAGGTGAAAGAATGATCTGGAGAAGCAAGCCCTATACAAAAAGTAAAGTAACAATAATAGAAAGGTGAATAGTGGCTGGAAGTATCATAAAATGGAGTCTGATCGCTAAGTACTAAGTCAGAGATTCTCAACTTTTTTGGTCTCAGGATCCCTTTAAACTCTTAAAAATTGAGGACCCCAAAGAGCTTTTATTATGTGCGTTATGTTTATTAATATTTACCATAGTTAAAGCTGAGATATTTAATAGCATTTATTAATTCATTTAAAAAATAAGCTATTATATGTTTAGGTAAATATTTTATATGAGAAACAACTATACGATCCAAAATTGTAAAAATTTAGAAAGAAGAGTGCTCTGTTTTACATTTTTGCAACTCTCTTTAATATGTGGCTTAACAGAAGACAGCTAGATTCTCACATCTGTTGTGATATGTTGTTTTGGTTGAAGTATATGAAGAAATTACAGCCTCACACTCACATGAAGTTGGAAAAGAGAAAATCTTACAGATCTCTCTAAAAGGGTTTCAGAGACCCCCCACCCCGAGGTCCACAGACCACACTCGAGACCCACTACACTAAGTATATAGTAGCTGCTCAATAAACTTAGTTGACTATTGATATGGAAATAACAAAGGCAGTTAAGTAGGAAACTGTGAGTACAGTATATTATCACAAGTAAAGCAAAATCTTCAAAATCATGCTTACTACAATTAGGGTATAAAGAATTAACAAGATAAACATGGTATAAAACTCCTATTTTACAACCCAAGGAGACCTCATAACATCAACCTCATATAGCAAATAATCGAATCATCATTTCCTGAAAATTAATGTTCTCAATCCTGGATGTACATTTGAATTATGTGGGAAGCTTTAAGCATACACACTCGTATATACATACCCCAATAATAACTAGGTCTCACAAAATGGAATAAAAAATACTTTTAAAAATAGCTGCTTCTGGGGTCTGGCCCGCTGGCACAAGACGTTAAGTGCACGCGCTCCGCTGTGGTGGCCCGGGGTTCGCTGGTTCGGATCCCGGGTGCACACCGACACACTGCTTGGCAAGCCATGCTGCGGCGGTGTCCCGTACAAAGTGGAGGAAGACGGGCATGGATGTTAGCCCAGGGCCAGTCTACCTCAGTAAATAAAGAGGAGGATTTGCAGATCTTAGCACAGGGCTGATCTTCCTCACCAAAAAAAAAAAAAAAAAAAAGCTGCTTCTGTTTGGGATGATGAAAAGTTTTGGAAACGGGTAACGGTGATGGTTGCATAACACTCTGAACGTACATAATGCTAAGAAATGTACACTAAAAAATGGTTAAAGTGGTAAATTTTATGTATATTCTACTACAATTTTTAAAATGCAAAAAGTGAAAAGTTAAAAGAAAACAAAAACAGCTGCATCACAGGACACCTAAAAATATAAAAGGTCACATTAAGAAATGATTCTCCTTCAGAAAACCATAAGATGAAGCCCTGTTTTCTATGCTTAATAGTACATTTAAAGTAAACAAAAGAAATCTTTCAAAAAGAAGGAATGAACACCAGCTTGAACTATTAAGAGAACTAAATATCTGAAAAGAAAATTGTGAAGACCATGTTAGTTTACTCACCTGCAACATGCTGACTATCTCAACTTTGTTGAAGAAAATAAAAGACGTAAGAGTAGAAAGAAAATTCTCTTCAAAAACGGATGGCGTAGGCAAAATGATGTCCTGAATGTACTGTACCCTGTAAGTCTGATGTATTTTTTGCCTTAGTTCAGAGTCTGTTATTGGTATAACTTCCTTAAACTTTGCAGTTTTGGTCAAAAATTCTCTATGCCTTTTTGGCTGGGCCAAAGCAGGGTCATATTCAAGGCATCCCACAACATCCATGATACACTCATCAGAAAACATTACCTCAAAAAGAGTTGCCTTATTTAGGAATAAGATTCCTCTAATAATTTCATACAAATGGTGTAAGCCTTCAGTGTTTTCTAGGTTCTCACAAGCTTGGAACAGCTGCAGTAGTTTTTTAATATAGCCTTCATTTTCCAAGGCCAGAGCCAGCTTTTCTCTACGGATAGGTGAGGAGAGAACTGAGGTAACTAAGTCAGCAATCTCTTCAAGTTTATTGAGTTCACATGTGGGCAGGTCAATCAGATGACTGGTTTCAGGCATTTCTTCAAATCGTTCTTCTTCTGATTCATCAATGAGGTCCTGTGTGACTTCCACTGATGGATCCTTACCTTGAACCTAAAAATATCCAAGTATAGCTGGTTACCTTAAAATACAAAAGAATTCAAAATTTTGGAAATCAAATCACTGAGCATTGAATTTAAGTAAAAATACCTTGCAAAGAATCAATACTAGTACTACAATCATTGTTAATTAAAAGTCAAGCCTAGAGGGGGAAAATACAACCAGGTTAGAGTCAATTATTAAAGTCTAAGTTACTGCAGATAGTTTCACCTCTAAATTTCCCAACTTACAACTTGAGGTTAACTCTGATCCTTGATAATCTGAATATTTCAGCTAATGTCTTGCACATCTGTGATGTTAAATTATGTGATAACCATGTGTAGTTGTTTAATAACTTCACTATAAGTAGTAATTTTGAATTCTGCAGAAGGTAACTTTGCTGTTGGTCCCCAAAATCACCACATATGACTTAAATCACCATCACATTGGCCTGGCAAGGACACTACTGAGTTCAAACCAAATTAAAACCCAACTCCTTATATATTCAAGAGTGAGAAAATATGATTTCTTCAAATTACTTTTGAAAATCACTTTTGTAAAAATATTTGCTTTTGTTATGAGCCTGAAACTGCTCTAAAAATAAAGTCTATTCTTTTAAAAATTGGCATTCATGTAACACCTGTGATCAAGCCTCCAAGTTCTAATATCTAGATAAAAATTACAACATAATGAATAAAGAACTGTTTTATGATTCAGGCTGACAGCTCAAGAAAAGCATGGCTAACATAAATCTTCTATGATAATTTATTCTACTTAACATAAAAAATTTACTCTTCATAGAATTTCTCTAATTCCTAACACAAGAGCGCAAGTATCCTCTCTTCTCCACCTGAAAATATCCCAAATATCTGGAGAACAGTTCCATAAATTTCCAAATCCACCAAAGCAACACAGGCAAAAATTGAGAGAAAGAAGTAGATGGATATACTGAGGCATACAAAATACTTTTCCTTCCTAGAGAGATGAGAGTACTTTTTACTTCTGAGTACTTAGAGTAGCTAGGCTTAGGTGACACACATATATAAGAAAAGTATAAGTAACAAGGTCATAAGAGTTCAGATAAAATGCCATGGAAATTCAGAGGGAGGGAAACTCCTTCTACCTCCTGGGGTTCTGGGGAGGAGAGAATATAAGGAAGGAATCATAAAACTAGTGGCATTTGAGATTTTAAGTGAAACTTCAAAGATGCGTAAGATAGGGAATAAAGGTACTCAAAGTGCAAGGAGAACAGCATAGAAGCAGAGAGATGGAAATATGTGACACGCATATGGCAAACAGCAAAAGCGGAAACGCAGATTGATGCCAGATCACGGAAAGTCAAGCTAAAACATTTGAGTTATTGCGCAGGGAAGTGAATGAGCAGAACTGTCTTTTAGAAAGTTCACCTGGCATCAGTTGTATGGGTTAAATTTGAAAGATAAGATAAATTAGGATGTTATTTCAAAGTCTACACGAACAACTGAATTTGGATAGTGATGATGGGACAGAGGAGACAGCTACAAAAGAGAGGAGTAATCACAAATGACCCTATAGTTTTAAATCTGTCATCAGGAAAACTATGGCTCCTTTAACAAAAACTGGGAACATGGGAGAGAAATGGTTAGTAAGAGTTCAGTTTTAGTAAGTTTGAGGTGTTTGAATATCCAGCTGGCAACTAAATCAGTGGGCCTACTACTCAGGAAAAAGAACAGGACAGAAGATAGATTTCGTATTACGGCAACAGTTAAAGCCAGAAGACTCTGACAGTAACCAGAGAAAAGAGAGGTGGAGTGTGAGGTGAGGAACGAAGAGGAAGAAGAATCAGAGGTTATAAAGAAAGAATAAGACGAAATTAAAAGGGTTAATTTACACTTCAAATGAATATAGTTTGCATATGTTGAAGAATAAAAGCACAGCTTCAGAGGCATTCACTAGGTTACTGCATCTTTATTTCTATGTCATCTAGCATTAATCTTTACAAGCTTCCTGGATTCTCTCCTAAACTTAACTTTCACTTTTCTGATTTGTCAATCCCACATAAACCCAAGTATCTATCTGGATGTTAACAGTGCTGCCCACCAAGTATTTCTGGTTCTCTCTCCTCTGCGACACACAAGTTCTTTGCCTCCATGAAGTTACAAGTAGCTGTGTGACTTGCTTTGGCCAATGAAATGTGGGCAAAACTGCCATGTGCAACTTCTGGGCAGAAACTTTTAAGCCAGTGCTCTGATTTGCCACCTTTCTTTCCACTTTGCATTGATATTGGAAGTATTAAAATGAATTCTCTATCCACCTGGTTCCTTGAGTGGCTCTGACGAGCAGAGACCCTTCCTCTACACCCCTACCCCTCACTAGTCAAATAGCATTACGCGAAAAACAAACTTTTGTTGTAATAAGTCACTGAAATTTCAGGATTTTGTTACTACAACATAATCTGACCTTAACATTCTTCAAGTCAGTCAACTAACTGTGCTGAATGGGTTTACAAAAAATCCACACTATCAATAGGGTTCTCAATGAAAATTTCTCTTTCCTACACTCCTGTTGTAGTCCCTTACAGATGTTGCTTTAAATTTTTTTCCCTTTTCAAGCATCAAACACTATTACTTTCCTCTTTAGCTCTCAGAGGAGAGACCTTTCTCCTTTGAAAAAGAGGCCATCAGTATTCAATCTCCTCCAACATCCTTCTCTCTCACAACTTATCTTCACTCATTTCCTTTATCTGTTTCCAAGAAAATGTCCCTCCCATTTTCTGAGGTTAAAACTTCCATACGTATTTTTGATTTCATGCTTTCTAAAAGCTCAATATATATCAATTATCTTAGCTCTTGTTTTTATAATTTCTTCCTCTCCAATGGTTCTATCATTCACCATTCCCCTTAAGATACTTATTGCTCTCTGAGCTGTCACTTTTCAGAGAGAAGTTCTGCTTTCTCATTATAAGGGTTAAGAAATGACTGAGTAATATGGTTTTTATTGATATTGAAATTGTTCTTTCAAATGTCAGCAATGACCTCCCAGAATTGAAAAGTAAAACGTATAATATACGGTTCTGTGGGATACCACGCAGTAGTTAGGAGCAATAAACTAAATGTATATTCGGCAATTTGCATAGATCTTAAAAGTAGAGCACTAAGTTGTGCAGTAGAAATTAACCTTGCTGGACCAGTAGAGTGGCCAAATCTCACATCCCTTCCAAAGGTGGAAAAGTTTGGGTGAAAATTAATAACAAATCGGGAGGAGAAATCGTAACTGAGGGCAAAGGAATGAATACATGGGTAATGCAACAAGAGAAATCCAGCATTAACACTGGTGCCTCAAGAAAGGCTCAGAGTAAGAGATGATCTTCTCTTAGCTCAATTATACCCGATGCCTGTAAAGCTGAAGCCATATGTTTACCAAGACAACCACTGCTCTTGGAACTTGACAAGGTCAAATGGAAGCCAGTAAATAAACTTGATGAGTGACACCACTCTGGGAGATATTTTGTCAAACAATATGATGATGAACTGGACCAACTGTTAATAACTAAGTGGGATTCTAGTAATGTGCCAGTATCTATTTACTCTTACTTTTCAGGTTATATCTCCAACCACCTTATGTACATAAGCTTTATGATAATACTGATATTGATGATCAAATATATTGGGAGATTGAGTCCTCAGCATGTAATGCTGATAGACAATGAGTGGCCTGAGGAAGAAGTAGATTTTGTTAACCATCAGCTAATTTCTGTGCTAAACAGTTCTGTGCAAGTTTATCATAAGGTACAAATTGCAGCACATCAAGGAGGTAAATGAGTAATCAAATTAGTGCAAAAATGTGAACAGTAAATCATGACTTTATAGGACAGATTAGTTGTTTCTTTAAATCTATCCCTACTACAGACTGGCTCCTCCAAATGTTAGGCATATTCATATTGATACTAATTGCTCAGTCATATAAATGCTATGCTAAATGTAGATGCTTAGACAAATATGATCATTTTGCTGTAAGAGAGTGTTGGCCAAGGGCCAAGGGGTGGCCTTTGCAGTACAGGATTAATCTTGCCCGAAGAAAGGTTTCGCCCTTGCCTAGCTCCTGAGAGGTAACCTCTAAGCACTCTGAATATCCTGTCTAATAAAAGTGGTTTGTTTATCTGGGGGTCTTGGGCCATACTAGATATTCTATGTGGGGAACTATGTGGTTGACGGTAGAGGTCAACCTCTGGAGGTGCTGGAAACTAAAGTCAGCCACATGGGCAGTCAGCCTGCTTACATGAAAAACCTCCAATGAAAATGCTGGACACAAAGGTTTGGGTAAGGTTCTCTGGTCAGCAATACTCCATGCATGCTGCCAAACATCACTGCTGGGAGAAGTTAAGTGCCGTCTGCACAACTATCCTGGGAGAGAAAACTGGAAGCTCATGTCTGGAACCCTCCTAGACCCTGTCCTGTGTGTCTTTTCCCACTGATAATTTTAATTTGGATCATTTTGCTGTAATAAACTATAACCATGACTATAACAGCTTTGTGGATTCTTTGAGTCTTTCTAGTGAATTAGTGAACCTGAGAGTGATCTTAGGGACCTCCTGAACCGTGTAAGTGAAAAGAGTAAGAAAAAAATTTCAGCAAAAATTTCTAGTACAAATATACAAAGACTTCAAGAATATATGTATATCCAAGAACATATATTGAACAGTAGGTGCTGAGGTGTGGGGAGGTGTGAAACAGGGCAAGGTATAATCTAATATGCTGGATCACTGGAAAATATTATCTACCACATAAATTTATGTTCTAGTAGATCTGTAAATCAACACCCTAGTTCTAAATAAGCTGTTTGTCTTCTGTTTTCTTCATCCATTCTTCAAATATATACCGAGCACATACACAACATGTGCCAATTGCCATAGTGGTACTGGAGGAGGGAGAATACAAAATAAAACAACACTTTTCAGGAATTTATAATAAATAAAAGTTAGTCTTTATATACTGCTATTAATATTCTGAATAGCCTTATAAGTATTATGGTAAAATCATCTTTCTCTCTTTTATTTTTAAAGTTTTACATCCTCCAGTGTGCTTTATTTTCATGGACCAGTTTTTTTTCCCCTTTTCATGAATGAACGCATGATTCAAGTTTATTGAATCTAGAACAGCAAACATTCGTGGATTGCATATGTATAAGTCTGCAATTGAGATCATTTTTAGGTCTTATTATCTCACTTTACAGAAAACTCTGCAAACAAAATTCAATCTCAATCCTCAGAGAGCACATAAGAAAAAAAAGGTAAAAATTAGGACCTTCTTGCCATCACCATCCATAGGTTTAAAAACAGGCAAAACACAAACGTGAAATAATAACAAAACAATTTGGATTATATTCTATGTATATTGTACAAATTAAAGCAAAATCATATTTACTAATGTTTTCAGCTGTTCATCAACTGAAATTCTTCTATTTAACAATGTATACTAATAATGCTCCAGCAATACATGATGCATAGTAAGATATGAGGTGGAAAAGAAACAAACAATCTACTTCAGTTAAGAAAAGTTTAGTGGTTTAGAGTCGTATGTCAAATAACCCTTATATGGAATGGGAAGGTTCACACTATACTTTATCACACTGTGTGGCACTGTTATTGGGAGGACCAGGGAAAAAAATGACCATGGTCAGATGCATAAAACTAACTCAAGAATCTTCAGTGATAAGAATCACTAGAGAGAAAAGCTGATATAAGTGAAAATGACAATAGTCAGAAAACACTATAATAGAATATTACACTAGGCAACCACTGAAACACAGTGATCTCCATTTACAGAAAATGGTAGTTAAAATGAATGTTATGATTAATTTAAAATTCTAGTTATCAGCTGTCACAGCCAAGATTTATCTAAGAAGACACAACTACTAAATGTAACATGGTATCCTGAATGAGATCTTGGAACAGAAAAGGGACATTGGGTTTGAAGCTGAGGATATCTGAATAAAGTATGGACTTTAGCTAATAATAATATGTGAATAATAACAGTGTACGAATATTAGTTCATTAATTGTGACAAGTGTATCATACTAATGTAAGATGCTAAGAATAGGGAAAACAGGGAGGAGGAGGTGTCAAGGAGGGGAGTATATAGGAACTCTCTCTGTATTTTCAGCTCATGTTTTCTGTAAATCTGAAATTTCTAAAATAAAAACTTTATTAACAAAAATTCCAGTTACCTGAGAGTTACTATCCATCCCATATCCTGCCTCATGAAAAGTTATGAACACTTTTGATAACATTAGTGTCTGGCACACAGTATTCATAAACATTAGGCAAACAGGTGACCAAATATTAAAGAAAAATCTAAAAGCCTTAGAACATAATTATTTAATCTTGTTTTGGTTTTTAAGATTTTGACATTTTGCAGGGTATTAATTATGAATACATGCCATCAAAATCTAAAGTGGTAAACAAAATTCTAAGTTTTTTTTTTTTGGTGAGAAAGATTAGCCCTGAGCTAACACCCGTTGCCAATCCTCCTCTCCTTGCTGAGGAAGAATGGCCCTGGGCCAACATCCGTGCCCATCCTCCTCTACCTTATATGTGGGATGCCTGCTACAGTGTGGCTCGATAAGTAGTGCATAGGTCCAGGCCCAGGATCCGAACCTGGGAACCCCGGGCCGCTGAAGCGGAGCGCACGAATCCAACCACTATACCACTGGCCAGGCCCAAGGTAATATTTTAAAAAATTTTAAGTAAAAGAATTTGCTGTAGAACATAAAAGAAATTTCCAGGTTAGATTACCAAAATCTCACACAAAGACATTATCTCTCCACATTCTAATATATATCTTTTAGGTAAAAAGAAAAAAAAAACCTCAAGAATACACGCAAATGTTAAGTTAAATGTTACTAAAGGAAACTTACCTGACAAATTTTTTCCCAGATCTCATCACAGCCAGCTTTTTCCTGAAAACTTAGAGCCAGATCGTAGTTTTCAGCTTCTGACCAAACAATTAATGTATCCTGTTTAAAAATAAAGATTTCTACATCATCACACTTGAAAAGAAATAACTACAAAATATAAATAAAAATCAAGAGGACAGGAAACAGCATAACAATGACAAATGCTCTCTGATAAGTGTACACTCAACTGACATCATATAATTATATTTTGTTATCCTTTGAAACTTTAGTAATATACTGGTGATGAAATAGTAGCTTTGGTACTAAAAATCACATTGAGCAATTTTCTAAAACAAAATATATTAAAACAGGTCACATGAGCCAGAGCTCATGTTACCAAGATGATGTTTAATGGAAAGCCTAGCTATTCCTGGCCAAACTGTAATGTAGACATTCTAATCATCTACTTCCTACTGTTTCCAGAAAGTCAGCTGTTTCACTCACTAACCACCTACCACCTACAAGTTTATCTTTCCCTTTAAGCTAGTTGTCAACTGGTTGCAAGTATAGGCTAACTAACAGCTGAAAATATCTTAAGGTTTAACTCTATTTTTGCCTTTTTTTTTTTTAATCTGGAAAAGCCTTCAGGACATTAAGGAATGCAAAACGATGGTGAAATGAAGATACTCTATCTGTAGGTATAACGAATGGCACCTACTTCAGCAGTTTCGGTTTTAGAAAAATTAAGAACTCCAGGTTCAGCTAAGTGCTTTCCTAGAATGTCCTGAATTATATCCCTACCAAAAGGCTATGCTTTTGAGAAAAAGTTGTCAACTCCTTTATTTAAAATGAAGGCTTGGGTTTAAATTAAAACCACGCACATGTTTAAATACTAAAATCCCTATGCAACACTCAAATGAAATGGACCTTTTTTAAGGAAACATAATAATGAAAGTTTCACATGGCTAAAACTTTGATCTTTCAAAAAATGCACATTTGAGTTTACATTCTAATTACTAAAAATATAACCTAAAAAAACCTTATATTTAATAATTGTTCATCTGACTAGTACTTATAAATAGTATGACCTGATATTAAAAAGTATAAAACTAAAAGTGAGCCCCAGCTTAATAAAGACAAAGTCTTCAAAATGAAAACATTTCAATACTTTGGTAGCTCTATCTAGTAAACGAAAAATATCCTTTAATTAATCCAGGCCTCAGATTAATAATTATTTGCTGTGTAATCAGCAAGAACAACTGGAAATCTGTTTTCTAGCTTCTGCCTGGATGTGCTTCTTGGAAGGAAAATTACCCCCAGGTATTCTAAAATTTTATTAGGTTGCTCTTTCTTTTAAAAGCTTTCAGTGTCTCCCATGATCTACAGAAGAGGTTTTGAAATCTTTTTACAAAAACCAGCAGAACTCTTTTTACAAATAAAATTTTACTAAGAATCTCCATGTAAAAAAGGATAAAAACAGAGCTACTCTGGTTAAAACACTAGGGCACCCACTCAGGCTCCATGCACTTTCCTTAGCCCCTGAGTTGTCTTCTTAGAGCTCTCCTCAAAACAGCTTCATGAACAGTAATCTCTAAAACTTTTTTAACAGGTTAATTTTAACCTCAAATTATTTATATATTATATACAGAAATATAATGTTAGTATAGGAATACTTTATAAAACATCACTAAAATAGAAATAAAAAGGCTTATATAAGGACAAAATTAGCAATATTTTTAAATGTTTCAATTGTAATGGCTCCATACCACTATTAGTATTTTAAGACCCAATAGGGCCGGCCCCATGGCTTAGCGGTTAAGTGTGCACGCTCCGCTACTGGCGGCCCGGGTTCGGATCCTGGGCGCGCACCGACGCACTGCTTCTCCGGCCATGCTGAGGCCGTGTCCCACACACAGCAACTAGAAGGATGTGCAACTATGACATACATCTATCTACTGGGGCTTTGGGGAAAAAAAAGGAGGAGGAGCCGGTCTTCCTCAGCAAAAAGAGGAGGATTAGCATGGATGTTAGCTGAGGGCTGATCTTCCTAACAAAACAAACAAACAAAAAAAGACCCAATAATACACTTAGGGCACAGCACACCCACAAACGACGGTAGATACACATGCATATTCAATGTTATCCTTTTAATAATTCTGAACTTTTTGGGAGGGGCAACTTCTTGTAAGATCTATTTTATCATTGTTTCCGCTTTATCACTTGGCCGACAGACAGCTTAGACTACAGCATAAATGTCAGTTTGATCATTATTTTGTTCACTTGCACTTACATTGTTTTCAACCCTTTTTAAGGCACTTGTTCATTTTGTCAGGCTTACAGGTCAGTTAACATGGAAAATATCTGTAAACAGCTATCTGCACATATAGGCTACGATAATTCACAATAGGTGGGGAATACTTTTCATGGAAATGTTACTCTTCTCTCAGAATACCATGCCTATTTTTGACCTCTTGACCACCTGACTTTATTAAATATTAGCAAAACTCAACTTCTTTTGATAAAAAATATCAACAGGTTTCTTCTCAAATCCCAATGCTTCATACTGTGCCTTCCATTTTGAAGATCACTAGTACAAAAGAATGAAATCAAAAATGCTTTATTTAGGAATCCAAGGCCCTTTCCATTTTGGTTCCCATCCACCTTCCGAGAGAAAGTCCAGGTGAGCAACAAAGTCTGAATTAAGTTAACTTAGTCCTCTTCATCATCATTTTCTTTTGTTCTTTCCTTCCCATTCTTAAGGTAGTCTTTTCCCTAAGCCAGCCAAAACATCAGAAACTAAATGGGATTTATATTCAGAATCCTTATTCAATGCAAAGAGGATTGACTTTGGAAGATGGTTAAAAATACAGATTCCCATGCCTCTCCCCTGGGGACAGGTCTGCAGTGAATCCCAAGAATCCTTACCTTTAACAAGGGTCCCGGGTAATTCTTTCAATAAGTCAAATTTGAGAACTTGACCTAAGTGTATTTCTAGTTGTTTACCAGAGATAGGGAAGTGCCATCAGAGCAGGCACCTTCCACCTCTATGTTATCTATTTCAAATGGGTGACAAATCTCATCCTTCCTTCTCCCCCTACCCCACACCCTACTGTCTCAGTTAAAAAAAAATACCCGGAAGAAACACTCCCTAGAATTGCTTATTCCAGGGGTCAAAGTAAGAGTTCCTAGGTGAGAGAGCATAGAGCTGCCATAAGAATACTTAAAACAGAATGAAAAGTGTCAAATGGCACGATTTCCTACATATCCAAAAAGCCTAGATACAGTCAAGCTCAATTTTTCATAGTTAAGATCTGTTTTCAACCACTGTGTTTTGTGATACTATATCTTTTGCTCATTTGTGCGTGGCATACATATCTTTGGGATATTAATGCCTCTATTTAAATCAACAGAAGCTCAGAGTTCTCCTCTACTAACTAAAACATTTAATCACCACTATGTCCCACAGAAATCAGATTTAAAATGAGCTTGCAAGGAGAATGGAAAAAGTCAGTTATATTTGGTCTGGTCCTTTAAAAAAATAAGAAAGGTGATTATGTCCAAGCCCAGGATGGGAGTAAGACATGAGCTAATGAAGCTTGACAATTTAGCCTTTGCTAAATCAGGTTTTCACAATGTAGTATTATCATAAGAAATGGTTATTTTCAATCTTATATATTAAAAACACATTCTTGAGCAGTATACTGTTTAAATCAGAGGTTCTTAACCCAGGATCTAAATGACACCTTAAAATTGTATCTAAAACTTGGTGTATAACATCTTTTGGGGGGAAAGGGTTTCCAGTTTTTATATTATATTCACAAACCATCTGTGACACATTTAAAAGGTTCTAACAAACCAATGAATTATGTTTCAGTTTTCCTCCCTGGTACTGATCTACTTCAACTGACATGAATAAAACTCAGGGTCATGAAATATTTGAGATCCTACTGCTTGCCAGGCTAATCCTATCTTTGCCCCCAACAAACAGAGCTGAAGTTTTTCAAAAGAAATACTTTTTTTAAAAAAGGAAAACAAATAGAAATAGCAGATTTATAGAATTCAATTTCCAGATTCAAAATCCATTAAAAATCTGAAAATGAGTGAGATTAACCAAATAATGCAGTATCTAACTCTTGATTAGTTCCTAATAGTAGTTGACCCAGTCTTTCTGAGATGGATTTTTAAAATATAGTATGGTATAAAATATAGTCCAAGACAGACAGGATGCCACTATTTACAAACAGTAGTAATATCTTCCCCAATTATGTGATATATTTGGATGCAATGGGAATAACCCTCGACTAGAAACAGGATCTGAGTACCACTCAGTTTCACTGTGCACTATTTCTCTGACTTTCAGCAAAGTATTTAGCCTCTTTGATTTTTCCTCACTGGAAAAGAGGAAAATGCTGCCTACATCAAGATTATCATAAAATTATTATGAATAAAGTTCTCTTACTGAGCTTATGTGTCAGATACTATGCTAAAGCATTTTTCATACATTAATTCTCAACTATTATATGAGATAGCATTTCCATTTAAAAGATGAAGTTCAGAGAAAGTTTGTTCAAAATCACATAGCTAGAAATAACGGAATTAAAAAACTGAGTGTCCAATTCTAAACCCATGTTCCTGCTACTATGCCACAAACGAAATGTGAACGAATTCTAAAAGAATGCAAAGTTTTTAACAACTTGCTTCCCAAGCCTCTCCCCTGTGCCATTATATTTATCTAGGCATCTGTCAAGACCCCTAAATAAGAAAGACCCCCCTCCTCTCCATCTGATTCCCAAAGATTCCTCATTGGTCCTGTTCCAAACCACCATCCAGAACACATCTCTACCCATCACTCTGCCTAATCTTTCAAACCTAATCATTCACATCCTCTACTCATGCACCTCATCTACAGCTCAAAGTGCAGAGTGGACTGTTACAAATTCATGCTGTCATTTTTTTTTTTTTATTTCCCCCCAAAGCCCCAGCAGATAGTTGTAGGTCATAGCTGCACATCCTTCTAGTTGCTGTATGTGGGACGCGGCCTCAGCATGGCCGGAGGAGCGGTGTGTCGGTGCGCGCCCGGGATCGAACCCGGGCCGCCAGCAGCAGAGCGTGCGCACTTAACCGCTAAGCCACGGGGCCGGCCCTCATGCTGTCATTTTAATGCAGCATTCAAAATTGTAGAAATCTCTTTCTCTCTTCTATACTCATCAGTCCATTCGCCACAATGACTCTCAGGCTGAACCCCAACATACTCAATTTTATTAGATTATTTTGCCAATTAGATACAATAAGATATGATCATTTTGGTCTCTACCTTCATCTCAGTGGATGTTCTTCTAACCAAAACCTATAAGATTCTCAATCTTTCTCTTGCAGGATATGAAACAGCCAAGTACTGACCGATTGGCCCTCCTTTCCTTACCAAAATTCTGTTCTCCCTTGAAGACAACACATTTTTCCAATTCTCTACTCTTTCCAATTGCTTATTCTTCCTCTTTACTGGATCTTCTTTTTTTTGTGATTACGAAACACCTAATCCAGCAGCATGCCCTGTCAATTCTGTCTTCAATATATACCTCAAATCTACTCATCTCTTTCCATCTCCACTGTCATCACCCTAACCCGATCCAACATTATCTCTTGCTTGGACTATGCTGCAATCTCCTACCTAGTCTCTGAGTTACTGTCTCTCTTCAATTCTAGATTGGTGTTACTATTTTGGATTATGTCATTCCTCTGCTGAAAACTCTTCAAAAGCTTTCAACTGCACTTTAAAAACTCAATTATTGGATGAATAAATGTGGACAATTCAACAATGCTCAGTCTTACACTCTGTTCTTTTCTCAATTTATATCTATTCTCTCAAAGGAGGTCCCCTCTTACAGCTAAAAACAGCATTTAATGATTCTCAAATTGGAATCTCCTGGGCCAAATTCTTACTGTATCTCTAGTTCCAGATGATCATTACAAGACTTTTTCCATTTATTTTACTATCGCTTAAAACCTAAATGAAAAAAAAGCAAGGCACAGAACAGTATATCATGCTACCATTTATCCCAATAAAAATAATATATATGTGATTGTATGCATATTTGTTTACATATGCATAAAACCTCTACGAAAATACACAGTAAACTGGTAATGTTGGTGGCCTCTAGTAAAGGAAAACCGTATGGACAGAGTCCAGGGTAGGAGAGAGACTTCACCAAATACCTTCTGAACTTTTAACTATGTGAATGTATTATCTATTCAAAATAAAGTTTTTAAAAATAAACAAGCCTCTAACCAAACGATTAATGTAAACCTGCTTTCTTCTGAATTTCCCAGTTTCTGGAGAGAACCATTTTTCTGGCCCCAAGACTCAAAAACACTACTAGTGACCTTTGATTCTTTCTTTCATATTTAATCATTCACCAAATCTTCCAGCACTTTCTTGAAAATATACTGGAGCTCCGTTCCTTCTTTCTAATCTCATTTACTACACTGGAACAGACTTTGATTTTCTCGTATCTGAATTATCGCAAAAGGTCTTGCTACCTAAAGCTCTTGTTTCCCTCTCCACCCTCAACTCATTGTTCATGACATTGCCACACACACTTCCTAAACACAGTAGTATCACTTTCACCATGTTAGACCCCTACTCAACACCTATAACGGCTCCCCTTTTGTTTAGCAAAACAAGCTCTCAAATAAAAAAACTTCTGCTGCAAACAGGCTTAATACCTTTTGTATCAGGTGTACTATTTCCTTCCCTATCACAGTTCCTTCAGCAGACACCACCTAGGAGAGTGAAGTTTTTCTTAATGATTCTAGCTCAAATCAATCTCCCCCTTCTCTAATTTTCTACTGCCCAAGTCTGTGGAACACAAGTTGCTTTTTACAATATTTTGCGTTGGCATATACTTGCTGTATAATCTCAGTCAAGAAACTTAAACTTTCTGTGCCTTAGTTGCCTTATCTGTGAAATACTTTCATGGGCTTTCAATGAGGACTGGGTTAAAACACCTTATCAGCTATATTATCATCATTCTGTGTTGTTTCACCTGTTATGTCTTGCCTCCCAATAAAACCGATGAGAAATTCCTTATACCTCTCTTCTACACCCAATTAACACACAATTGTGTTAAATATAAAAGGTACACATCCCTATGACTTTGCTTTTGACTTAGTCAAGATCAGTGGGACTGACTGTAAATAACTTAAAATTTTGACACATGTATCAGGCACTTTATTTCATGTTCCACCGTATAATCCTTCTTTTCTCTTTCCAACATGTTTAAACACTTAAGTTTATTGGCTCCTTTAGGGTAAGTATATTTTCTCCTTCCCATTAACTACTTCAATATGGCCCACAGTAAACAAGAAAGTGATCTGAATCAATGATGTCCTATCAATATTGAGTCATTTGACATTCAACTCAACTCATTCTAACTTATTTTGAGCCCACAACTCAGTACTTCGCTTTTGGAAAAAATTTTAAAAAGATGTACTTTGGCCCACAATTCAGTACTTCGCTCACTGCAGAACTGTGATATTAAAAGGAAGAATGTTAAATACTCCTCTCCGAATTTATTCAACATATATTAATGTAGCAAAATATCCTATGAACTATGAATGTCTCATTCACTCACTCAAGTTTTTTTTATTGAAAATCCTCTAATGATCAATATATTTCATATAAATTTTGGAAGTGATTTTCTAGACTAATTTATTAAACAACTTAAACGATGACATTAAAAAAAGATAATTCTAATGAATATAGAAAAATATCAACGTGTTTGTAAATCCCAACTTGTGTAACTTGGTAAAAAGTGCAAATTGAACAAGATTTTGGTAAAAATATGAAAAACCATATCTGTTACAAAAAAACTAAGTTTAAGATAACTCCTAAATGGCTCCTTGATTTCTATTAGAAAAGTGCACTCAATTTAAACAAAAATAAAGAAAATAAAACAGGTGACTCCGTTTACACGGTTTTTCATTCTTATATACAAAGCTTCTCCATATTATTCTCATTGCCAAAAAGTTCTCTTATACTTTAATGTTTAGTAAAAGTACCTCAATTAGAGAAATATATATTTAAAAAGCCCAATAGTATATTATTTAAATGTGACTAATTACAGAAAACATTTTCCCAATAGCATAAAAAAATTTTTTCAAGATTTTTTTTCTCCAATACTTTAATTTTCTAGCAGAGTAACATTACACATGAAACATATCCCAAAGTTCCTAAAGTATTCACAGAACCGCTGTGTATTTTTGGACTAACGCTGGGAACTATTTTATACACAAACCTCTGCCATAATGTAGTCTTTCCAATAGTAACAACAGCTAAAGGATCTTGTACACAATCTGAGAAGAATCCATAATATAACTAATGTAGGGAGTCCCATTTAAGAACACAGTTCCTGAGAATTTGATACTCATGCAGATAGGGGGAAAAATGATCACACAATATTAGCAATTTTTCCCCACAAACAAGCAAGCAAACAAAAAACAAACCAAAACTGGCTATCTGGCAAAATTAAGTGCACTGACAGAGAGTAACCACCTGCCTGGCTGACTTAGAAATTAAACTTTCTACCTTAAAATGTCTAAGGTATAGGAAACATCTTCAAGTGTGCAATACAGAACAAATGTTTAATTTGATTCTCCATCAAAAAAGACATAACATTTTCTAAGCAGAGGAAAAAACTATTAATTGAATATTGAAAACTTTAAAAATATTTCAAAGAACTGATTACGAATGTATTGCATACACAAAACAATTGTTTAACAATTTTACTAATAATGTGCTGTGCAACAGACATTTCATTCCTCCAACTGTGAAGTATTTGTTTCTGGGCATCCAAATTTTCATTGACCTTGAAGAAAATAGGCATTGATGATGTAAATATAATCCCAAAATTTATCTTTTCCTTAAAAAATCTCTGCCATATTCACTTTACACACCATACACACAAAAAACTGAAAATAATCCAAATATCTAACAGGTATATATCATATATCAGAATACTATACAGTGTTTAAAAAAATATCAACTAGATCTACATTGTTAACACAAAGAAATCTTCAAAATAACATTGAGTGAAAAATGAAAGTTGCAGAAATACATGTAAGAGTCTAGATCAATTGTGCAAAGTTTAAAAACACACAGAAGACTACATATTTATGGATACATACATATGCAGAGAAGGTATAAAAGCATGTACAGAAATAATACACATCAACTTCAGAATAGTGGTTACCAACAGGGAGGATGCAGAATGGATATAATGAGATGGGTACAGAGGGGTCTTTAACTCTATCCACAACGTTCAACATTACACAAAATTTTGAAGCAAATATGGTATAATGTTAACATTGTTAAACTTAGTAGTGTTACAAGGACATTCATTAGATTTTTCTCTGTACTTTTCAATTTTGAAATCTTTCATAATAAAAATGAAAACATTCACATAATAAAGAAAGGGTGAATCACTGCTGCCATTTCCAGATGAAATAATTAGGCATGTTAAAACACAACACAGGTTTTTTTCCCCAAGACAATAAATATTAACAGAAAACATTACATAACCGGCAATGTACACTTTTGTAAAGTATCCACTGATTATTATATTAAAAATACACAAAGAACAGGATTTAAATGCTTCTACTTCAAAAACTCGACCTTTGCTTCAGCCAAAGGATCTAATTTCACATCACAAACAGGCTTTCCTTGATTTTAAGAGTACCTCTTTGAATTTTCTTTTATGCCATTTCCTCTAAATGTGATCCAGAATAAAAGGCTTAGTGTACAGGGTATAGAAGAGATCTGGCTAACTGTAGTTAAATAAGACTAATACATTGTATTCTAATACAAACTAACATAGGCTCATTTCAAAGATAATAAATTACTGCCAGTACAAAAAACTTTCACTCTTCAGTTTGAAACTTTTAACGTGCAAGGGAAATACATATGGTCTGTAACTTTGTTTACCAAACATGTTTTTTCTTGTCAGGAAAGCCTTCCCATCTTTGTCAGATTAATACTTCCTTGATCACAGATGAAGTCTTTCAAATTAAAGATAAACAACTACTTGCCTGTTGTTTCTGATATGCAGTGTTTGGATTTATCTTTGATTCCAAGAGTAGTGATCCTGAAAGATAAAAAACAGTATTTGTAAGTTTTAATTGATAAAATCCCGAATAAAAAATCAGAATCCACATTAAAAAAAAAAACCAAACCAAAAAAACCTTATGTTCCCTTCACCCAGCCAGACATCTGAAGTATCAAATATATTGGAACTCACATTTTTCTCTCCAGATCTGGGCTTCACATTTAATTTAGAAGGTATCATCCTATCCCCACACCCCCTTAAAGGAAAAAATCCATCTAAGACCAACATTCAGACCAAGAATATAAGGAGACTAAATGACTATTAAAGTTTTATTGAAATGAAAATTTTAAGGTCTAAACGACCACTTGAGGCCAAACTCTTTTTAACCAAGTTATTTTATTGCATTTCCAGTTTAACAAATAAAACAAATTACAAAGGACCACAACAGGGGTCTAAGTACTTAGTACACAAACTACAGAACTGCGTTTATCTTTTTTTCCTTAACAACAGAAGGTAAGACATCTCATGTAGTAATAAATGTCCATGACTGTTTAAAATAAAAAGGAAAGTGCAAGAGTACAAATACGTCAAGAATAAATCTAAGATTGTTATTTTTCTATTATCTGCACATAGTTGCTCAAATCGAGGCATTCCAATTACAATGAGAAAAATGTTTTAATTACAGCTCTATATTTTATAATTTAAAAATACTTTACATATGACTAGTACAATAAATCAACGAATACAAGTTTACAATCTGCTTTGGTGTCCTAACTTGTTTAGGTTGTGAAGTATCCACTTTTTCACAGCACTTTCTACGAAAACAGCCTGGAGGGATCCCACACTAAAGATGTGTATATGCTTGTGCGTGCACGTATCGTGGTAACAGTCTGCAATAACCCCAAAAAAAGATGCCTTTTGCTTTTCCCCAGCACCTGTCGACTGTGGCAACTGGGGCTCGTTGGTAAAAAGTTAAAAAAAAAAAAACTCAGGAAAGTTCCACTAAACCTTCTGTCCCAGACATATATATAAATATGGCTAAGAAAATTTTAAAAAAAAAGGGAAGGGATCAGCTCCCTCGGACCAGTAGATCACTACCTTGTCTCTCATTACTTCCTTCTCTTTCACACACTATCCTCTTCAAAAGAGGAGACTGGAGAGGAAGGGGTCAAATCCTTAACAGGGATAGGAGGCGGGGGAACGGAGAATCGGCATCGGACTGAGGGTTAATCCGGGCAAGTAGTTTCTTTTTACCGTACAGAAGTGCAGGCACAAAACCACTGCGCTGTCCCAAGACATGGTAGTAACAGTACTCGGCCCAGGGCCTAAACCCCAGGGCTGTACCCTAACCGGAGGCACTGTCCCCTATCCTACCGTTCCAATAACCTTACCGTCGGACTCTGCCCGAACCAGGAGCGACATCCCCTTGAGCTCCTCCACATAAGTGGAGGAGACGTGCCCGGTGCCTCGGTCGTCCCATTGCCGGTCTTCGTTCAGGGTATAGACCTTCACGCGCCGCCGCGTATCCGACATGGTGGCTGCTGTCCTGACCGCTCCAGCCGCCGCCTCCTCGCTCACCAGGTCCGTACCCCTCACTCCTGAGAGACCGGAGCGGCGGCGGCGGCGGCGGCAGCGGCGGCGGCTCCGGAGAGGCCCGAGTTCACCATGGCTCTCAAGGTTCAGCCGCGGGAAGGGGCAACGAGAGCTACCGCGACCTCTCCGCCCAGAGTCCCGGTTACCTCTCACTTCACCTCCGCACACAACCACCCTCCCCTCCCTTCGCCCCCCGCGAGCTCGCTCGCTCTCCCACCGCCGCCGCCGCCGCCGCCGCCGTAACTACTACAGATCCGCCATCTTGTAACCCGATTCTCTCTGCCTTTCTCTTCCTCCTCCAGCAGGCTCGCACGGGCTGTCCTAGCAGGGGCTACGGCGGCCGACGAGTCCAACGCGCGACGCCTCCACTTCTGCACGCGCTTCCCGGCCCGGCTGTGCTCGGCGTTTTCGCGAGGCGGGGTACTGGACTGTGATGGGAGGGCCTAAGTGCGATTTCCTCCTCTCTCGGCCCCGCCTGCTGGAGCGGGATCTCGGCCAAGTGGGCGGTTCTCGCGAGCTCCGCGTCCCTCTGGTGCCGCGAGATTCCTGTCTATGCGGGCTGCGGTAGCTGAGTCGTGGATCGTGCTTCATGAGGTGGCTGCCAGCGCTCGGCGTGGGGCGACCCGTGGGACCCAGCTCTGAGGAAAAAGCAAAGCAAACCTGGGAGGTATGCGTCCTTGGACGGGACTAACCTTGTGCAAAAAGGAAGGAAATGTGCTCGCGTTCCTTAATAGAAGCTCACTCTGTCAGCCTGTGGGAGAAAAATAGTCTTAAAACCTCTTTCTGTGAAGACATAGGAACTTGAAGCCCTTTAAAGCGACCTGAACCCACTAAAACTCGTTATGGAGTCTCTTACAGTTAAGCATCTCCTCAGGAAGTGTTCTATGCATCTCCAGGCGATTATAACGTCGTACAGAAGTGTGTTGACCATTTCCTATTTCCCGCGAAGGCGTTTCACCGTTAGGCTTTTGGTAGCTGGCCGTTGAAAAGCATACTTTCCGTTTTATGAAAATACAGTGCCCTTCCCGTGTTTGTAGCCTCGAAAATAAGTCTTCAGATAAGTTTAGGGAGGTGGCGGGAAGCTGCTTTCCTAACACCTCTAAGAGCATTGTTTTGATATTCTTGAGTTTCTCTTGCGAGCATTTCTTGCGTTATCTTTCGGGAGGTCTTCGGCGCTGAATAAGCGAAGGAAGAATTCTCTCGGCATTCACGTTGTCAGACATACGCGGTGGATACAGGTCGTGCGTTGGACAGTCGTTCATTTCATTCCTCTTTTGTTCTTGGTAGAATCGTTTTATTTATTCTTTAAGACGATCTCAGCTTGGTCACCCGCCATTTCTTACACCCTGAAAGGTGAAAACCAGGCGAGATGCACACGTTGATCCTGCAGCGTATCTTGGGAGTTGTAGTCGTTACTTATTACTGGTCTGGTCAAAACGTGCTTATGTTTTGACCAGGTCTTATGCATGGACACCCTTCAGCGGTACATGTAATACGTGAGATAATGGCTTACACAGAGCAGGCGCCTGATAAAAAATAGATTCTAATTTCAAATTCTGGATACATAGAATTTTTTTAAATCTAAAGAGGACCTCAGAAAATGTACTTGAATTAAGTAGTTATAATATACATAACAATAGAGCCCGTTAATTGATGTAATTGATGTGGACAAAATGCATTTTGAGCCCAGAGAAAAATAATATTTCTGTCTCAGATCAGGGAAAGCTTCACATACATAACTTTTGAGTTTGATGTTAGAGATGGAGTGGGAGTTTGGCGTGCAAAGGTTTTCAAGGCTGAGGGGACAGGGTGAACAAAGTCATAATGTGTTACTGGCCTAAAAGAACTTATAAGTTAAAAGAATGAGAACTATGCAGAAGTCACTTTAACACTATACACGTTAAGAGGTTAATATCCTACAAATAGATCTAACTCTGGACAAAATTGTGAAATGAGTCATTTCCTGTATTTATTCAATCATTCAATAAATATTTGTTGAGCATATACTATGTGCTAGGCACTGTTCTATACAGTGAGTAAAATAGAAAAAGTCCCTCTTCTCATGGAGCTTACATTCTAGTGTAGGTAGACAATAAACAAATACATGCCTGGTACTGATAAATGTTGTGACCGAAAATAGAGTAGCAAAAGGTTAGAGAGTGAGTTTGGGAAGAGTAATGATGTGTATTGAGGAAGTCCTCTGTGAGAGAGGCAGTCAGCCAAGCATTTCCCCAGAGGAAGAGAGAGCCAGGAAGTGGGAACAGCGAGTACAAAAGCCTTGAGACTGTAGCATGTTGAGTGAGTGAAAGGGTTAGCCAGGAAACCAGTGTGATTGAATTGGAGTGAGAAAGGGGAAAATGGTGGGAAATAAGGTTGGGAGTGGGGGAGAGGCTATTTTGAAGGGCCTTGGATTTTACTTTGAATGAGTTGCAAATCCGCTGGAGAGTTTTGAACTAAGGAGTGAAATGATCTAAGATTTCAAAGCATCCCTCCCATCTTTTCTTCAGTATCTCTTCTGGTATACCCCCTAAGATCTGGTGACCTAGAGAAAAAGAGAACAGAGTTAAACCCATAGGACTCATCTCTCCCCATTGCTGGATCCTCAGGCACACGTTCTCCCTTGTTTTCTTCTTCCCCTAGGCCACAGCGATTCACTCTCACATCTCTTCTACTGCCACAGGCCCACTTCTAACATTTGTAGGGCTGGATATCTGCAAGGCTCAGGACAGGCATACAAATGGAAGACCATATACCATAAGTCTAAATATTTAAAAGTTTTAAATCAAGCTAACAAACTGGAATAAAATATATTTTCTTCTCCTACCTTGGGTATACTTTGACAAATATATTTTCATAATGACCTGGAAGCCAGATTCAAATCTAGTATTCTTGAACTCCTCAGAGTTCTAGAATCTCCCTCTGGGCCCCAGAGTCCTTAGCCTGCCTTCCTTTTCTTCTTCTACCTCAGCTCTGTCCTGTACTTTAGCAGCCCTTATGTGCACACATAGAATACCCCAGCTTTCTGTCCAAGCCCTGTCTGCGCTCCGTGAATGTAGTTACCCCTTGGCCACTCCACGTGAGGACAGAACTTGAGAAGAGGACTGTGCAGACCCTGGAAGCAGGCTTGGCCTTTGGGGCAGGGAATTCCAGGGTGCCCAGAGCATGGTCTAGAAAGGGGAGACTGGGTTCCATGGACTTATCACCTCATGGAGAGAAGCATGGACAGAGGGCCTGCTAAAACACAGGGCCCAGCACTTCACTTGGGTCTGAGGGCAGTACTGCACTGCAACAATGTGTTTTCCCCAGCAAAGCTTCTTTTCTTCAGGCAGTCATCAAAGTTCCACTCCAAGAGTTGATGTGTGTGTGCGTGTGTGTGTGTGTGTATATATATATATATATATATAAAATACTTACATTACTACCTTTTTTTAAAACACAAATAATGCAATACTATACATACTGTTGTACAGATGTATACTAGTTTATTTAAACCATCTCCTATTTATGTATATTTGTGTCATTTCCAGCAGTTTCAAAAATAAATGATTGTACAGAAGTTATTTCATGTGTGCCAGTATATTTGTAGGTTAAATTCCTGAAGCAGGGTTTTGCAGCCTTGGCACCATTAACATTTTGGACTGGATGATTCTTTGTTATGAGAGGCTATCCTGTACATTACAGGATGTTTAGCAGCATCCCGGGCTTCTACCCATCAGATGCCAGTAGTATTGCACCCCCTTCTCCGGGTGCGACAACCAAAATTATCTCCCATCACTACCAAATGTCCCATAAGGGCACATTACACTTTTTAATTCTTGCAAGTTTAAAAAAATATATTGTTAATCTCTACAGGGTAACCTGGGTTCTCAGTCTAATTGACTCATGTCCTTGAAATGTGAGGCTTTCTTTCACCTTTCCCAATTCTGTTAGATGTTTTTATGAAAGAACTTTTATGAACGTTTTTTGCTATATTCACTCATTTTTTCCTTAAGGTGATAGATCTTTAAGACTTCTCTATTTAAATAAACCATCAAAACTGATAACTTTTATCCTCTTCAGCTGCATTCCTATTTCTTTTCCTTCTTATAGCCAAACTATTCAAGGGTTGAAATTGTTTATACTCCCTTCATTTCCTCACTGCCTACTCATTCCTCAGTTGAACCCATTCTGGTTTCCATCAATCCCAGCCCTCAACAAAAACCTTTTGATAACCTCAGTAACGACTTCTATGTTGATAATGCCAGTGGACGTTTTTCAACCCGTTTTACTTGATCTAAGTTAAAATTGACACTTTGACCACTTCCTTCTAGAAACTGTTTATTCACTTTTCTTTTTGACAAATACTCTTGGGTTTCCTCCTAGCTCTTTGATTACTGCTTCTTTTTGTTATTTGCTGTCTCATCCTCTATCCAACCAGTCAATACCAGGAGTTCCTCAAAGGCTCAGTCTTAGATTTTCTTCTTCTCACTCTAGACTCTTTCCCTAAGTGATTTCAACTACATCCCTTGCTTCAGGTATCACTTATACATAGATGATTCATGAATTTATATCTCCAGGCCAGACCTCCTTTCAGAGCTCCAGACTACTAGATCCAGATGCTTATAGGACACCTGAAATGGCTCAAAGTTATCTCAAGTTCAGCATGTCCCGAACTGAACTCAATCATTTTCTCTTCCTTCGTGTTTGGTTCTCTTCCATGTTCTCTATTTCTGTGAATAGCAAGTTATTCAAGACAGTGACCTGGAATTCATCCTCACCACTTTGTTTTGTTTTAAACTTATATTTATTGAGAACTTGACATATGCTAACCATTGTTTTAAGTGGTTTACATGTCTTTTTTTTTTAAACTCACAACCACCCATGTCCAGTCATCACCAAGTTCTGTTGGTCCATCCACTTCTCTTCATTTCCAGCAGCACCATCTTCTACCCAGCTACCATCATCTCTACTTGCACTACAGAGTGCCTGTAGGGAAGCACGATATTCTACCCCATAATCTCAATCATCACTCCTGCCCTTCCTCATTCTTTGAAATGGACAATTTAAGAACAGTTTTAAGCCTCCTACCTCACTCCATTCCAACAAAATTATTGCTCTAAATTTTTCTATAGAGAAATTCTAGGGCCACCACTGCAGTATAGTCTCTTGCTAGTCTCTTTGAATCCACTTTGGCGATTCATTACCCCTATCCCCCCAATCTCTTCTCCACTGTACAACTGGATGATCTGTCTAAGCTGGAAATTTGATCATGTTGTCAGTCACCATTTCCTCTTGTATCCTACTAATATATATTACTAAAAATCTCTCAGTAGCCAAAATCCTTTACATGATTCATAAGGCCCTCTTGGTCCTGCCTCTGCCTATCTTTTTCTGTTCTGTCAAATTCATCCTGAGGCTAACTCCTTTTGTATCTTAAGATGGTAACCAAGAGCTCCCAAGGCTACATAGTTCTTCATCCACTTCAAGAGAGTTTCTTCACATATCCCTAGTTGCATTGTGATTAGGCTAACTTAGGTTGCATGCCCACCCCTGAACCTCAAGTTTTGTCATCTAGGGAATGTCAGGCACTGATTGGCTAAGGCAAATCAGGGCCCATCCTTGGAGCTAGGGGTGGGGTTAATCCCACCCAAATCCCGTGGATGTTAACACTGTGTGATATGGGTAAAATTGATGCTATGAAGACAACCAGAGTATTCTTTTTATCTTCCTATTACACACTCTTACAGCTCCAGGCATCCCTCCATTGTAGCATTTGTCATACTTGTAGCTTTATTTGTGTGATTTCTGATTTAATAACTGTCTCTACATCTAGACGAAAAATTTCCATTAGTCCGGGGAACTATGTTTTTTCTCACCATTGTATTTCCAGTGCCTAGCATAGGGTGTGGAACATAGTAGGTATTCAATAACTGTTGAAAGAATGAAGTTTCGTTAGAAGTTTACTACTCAGTTTTACATTCCCCCTGGCAGGTAATTTAATCACAATCCTATCAGCTCAGTTGAGATTAGATTACATCTTTGAAAGCTCCAGGCTGGTGTCTCTAATTTCTGTCTCCAAGTAGTCAATTCTTGACACACCACTGAGTGCTATTTGTGAAACAAATTTGGTCACATTATGTTCTTTTAACATCTTTCAGTAGTTTCTGATTTCTTGCAGGATAAAGTTCTTCAGGATGGCATACAAAGCCCTTCTGGTTTGGCCCCTACCAAACTGTGGCTCTTTAATCTCAAGAGCAAAGCCATAGACTGCTGGCCTTTCCTGAGGTGATTTTTTTTCAATCATAGCCCCTCCCTCATCCCTTACCAAATGTTTTTAGAGGTCTTTTCTCTGGAGGGGTCTACTTTCTCCAGGTACTCCCCCATATCCTGCTTGGGTAAAGGCAAAGGAAGGACGCTAAAGGTCCAACTGTTTGGTATTCAGGCTTTCACTTAATCCCCACTTTTAACCCTGCTTCATAATCTCCTACCATCTACTGTGACAAATGTCCCCAAATCAAGTGTCTCCCATTTTGGAAAATAAATCTCAGTCTCCTGAGGTGGTCGTGACAGTATGTATTACAAGAGTATGTGTGGGTATGAGTGTGTGTGTGGAGAGGGATGGGATTGGGGGTTGGACCCAGGCTTGTAGCCCCTCTCTATATGGACTTTCACCCTGCCCTCACATTCTCACCCCTGATCCTTTCTGGTTTTTTTGTGGAGATAATTAGTTCTCTTTTTTTCTCTGATTACCTCTGTGGTCATTTAGGTTGTAACTTTCTCTACTCTGCTAAGTGCACTGCTACTCTTCCATCTGTGTGTCATGCAACTGACATTTGTTAAAATCTCTTTTGTCTGCTGTGGTGTCTTTTATTTTGTTTACCCTTTGGACCCTATACTTTTTAGAAAATTTATTTAACTGTCAAAGAGGTGGGATGCTTCTGTGTGGTTAATTTTCCTTGTTTAACCAAGGTATTCTGATATGTTTTTATGGTTTTTTTGTTGTTAGTTTTCTAATCCACTTGGAATTTTTGTATATATGAAGTAGGGTGCTAATTTAAATTTTTTCCTCCAAATGGAGAGTCAATTATCCACATCATTTTTAGATGAAATAATTTGAAATGCTGTTTTAATCATATTCTTTACTAAATTCACACACGCACACACACATACACATATACATACATATATCTGGATTTGAATCTGAATTCACTACTCTGTTTTCATTGTTTTATTTGGACAACTCTAGTATGACAGTTTTAATTGCTATCGTTTTATAGTTTGTTTTGGTATTTGGTTAGTGTGGTAGCCGTATAAGTGCACCACTCAGATCTCCTCCAAGAGAACCTACTCTGGGGAACATAGTTGACTGACAGCCAGCTGCTACCCCTTTGGAACTACCATTCTGTTTCTACTGAAGCCACAAATACTTCAAGCTGCTCTCAGCCAGTGACTGAACATAGCAGGAGTACTAAACTTGTCCTTTTCTGCCCAATGCAGAAGTCCTCTTATGGGCACCTTTGGCTTGGGGAACTTCTTATCAGCCTTAATGAGACTTTCTTGGAGCTACACTGTAGTTGGAAGCTTTTTCCACCCAGTAATTCCTGCCCTCCTTCTTTTTACAGAGGTCAAACTTGCTTTATGGTCTGCAGGCTTTCTCTGCCAGTTGCTGAGTCCATCTATTTTATCCTTCAGTTAATATCTTGCATGTCTAATCCCTTCTTGGCATCTGCTTCCCTGAGGACCAGAACTGACATAGGTGGTACAGGGAGTGGTGCAAGAAATCAGGCAGTAAGATGGGGTTTGGGTGAAGGTTTACTCCATCCCTGGCACAAGTGGCCACTTGACTACTGATTTCATGAGTGGTGACCTAGGAAAACATCCCAGAAGAGGGGAATGCTGTTGCCTATACATTCAGGCATTTGAAAGATATGGGGGAAACAATGCCTACAAGGACAGCAGAGCTGGGCAATTTAAGTTGTCCTGCTGCCTTGCAGAGGGATATTGAGAAATTGAGGGCACTTAACACACAGTTAAAACTAAGTTTGGGAGCCAGGAGGCCTCTTTGGAGCTTCACAAAGAGGCCCTTATTTTGTGCAGTGGAAGAACAGATGTGGGATTTGACAGAGTTACAGAGTTCTAAAGATATTTCAACGCTCATCCTAGGAAAGTTTGCTATGACGTTTTGGGCCCTGGTTGGGAAAGCTTGAAGCTTTGAAACATGGGATAGGTGCCCCTGAGGATTTTGGCTCTGTAGACACCCCTGGACCTTCAAGGCTTGCAGAAATGGCTCGTACCTCCTAGTAAAAGGTAACATTTTCCCCCTTGCAGAAAGACCTCTTGCATAGTTGCTCCCATTTCTTCTCCTGGCTGAGAGGTTGTGGTAACTAGAGTTAAATCTCAGCATAATCTGCCTGGGGACTATTTGGCCTAATAAGGGAGGAAAGAGATTACACACTGAAGGAATTGAAATAATAAGCTAGCATACACTAGCAGGAGCCAGAGGAGAAAACTTAGGATTGGATTTTGAGGGTGCTTGATCAAGGGGGCTGGAGGTTAAGACTAGATAATCAAGATTTCATGGACTTGAGATGCCTTTGGGACAGAAGATTTAACTGTGGCCAGGACCCCAAGGGGTGGGGCAAACTCACTGCTAGGGTAGCTCTTGGAAGCCTGGAAAAAGTGAGAGATGTAGAAATGAGCTCACGTCATGACTCCTGGAGAAAATAGCTGTTTATTTTGGCATACTTGTGTGGTTACTGCTCACTTATTAGTTCTAACTAATTGTTTTATAACAATTCAGAGGGTTTTATAGATGGTCATCTGCAAATATTTTTGTTCTTCTCTACCTCCTTTTAACATCTTGTCATGTTGATTAGGACCTCAGAACATCGATGAGAGTAATAGTGGTGATTCTTGTTTTCTTTCTGACTTTAATGGCAATGTCTGCATTGTTGTATACATGTTCTTAATTTCTGATAGATACCACTCACCAAGTTAAGGACATTTCCTCATATTCTCAATTCTCTAGGAAATGTACATTGAATTTTATAAATTGCCTTTTTTGCATCTTGTGATCATATCGTTTTTCTTCTGTAATCTCTATAATGGATCATATTCTCATTTTACCCATCCTTGCATTCCCACAGATCTACTTGGTCCTAATAGCTTTTGTCAATATTTTATTAAGACAATTTATTTGTTTTCATAAATGATAATGGTCTATGTATTTTTATGCTTTCTTTTTTTTGAATATCATCTCTTGGAATTTATGAGTCCTTGGCAATTGCATTAAATTTTATAGCCACAATATCAAAAACTATAGCCAACTTGGCAATTTTGGTTTTCATGAAACACTGGGTATTCTTTAGTGCTTCCCAACACATGCAGAATAAATTTCAGAGTCCTAAGTCTAATATTCTAAACCCCTCTACAATCGGACCTCTATTTACTATCTTCTTTGTCCATTGATAAAACTGTTTCCGATCCGTAGATGGCCTTTCCCTTTATAATCATCCTTTAAAGCCCAGCTCAAATATCCCCTTTCCTTGTGGAAATCCAATTCAAAGTCCACTTCTTAGAAACTTCTACTTTTTCTTCGAGTTAGAACTAATCTATTCTCTTCCCTCCTCATCTTTTTTTTTAATAATGTTCATGTTTTTGTATTATTATTTTTTTTTATAATTTTTATCTATTTATTTTTCCCCCAAAGCCCCAGTAGATAGTTGTATGTCATAGCTGCACATCCTTCTAGTTGCTGTATGTGGGACATGGCCTCAGCATGGTTGGAGAAGCGGTCCGTCGGTGCGCGCCTGGGATTCGAACCCCGGGCCGCCAGCAGCGGAGCGCGCGCACCCAACTGCTAAGCCATGGGGCCGGCCCCCCATCTGTTTTTTTAGTGAGGAAGATTAGCCCTGAGCTAACATCTGTTGCCAATCTTCCTCTTTTTGCTTGAGGAAGGTGGTTGTTGGGCTGACATCTGTGCCAATCTTCCTCTATTTTGTGTGTGGGACGCCTCCACAGCGTGGCTTGATGAGTGGTGTGTAGGTTCGCACCTGGGATCTGAAACTGTGAA